GCAGCCTGGCCATCACAGATCCCAGCCTGCATTTGCCAACCCGGACAGCCTGGACTCCATCTACTTGCGACATTTACTTCTATTCTGTTCCCCACCCAGAATGGACTCATTCAGATATTCTGGCCTGATTCAAGCGAGGCAAATTCAGTGAAAAATGAAGTGTCCACTTTTGGACAAGAGCATGAAAGGACAAACAAGGCCTCATGGACAGCATGATGGTGGTGGCGAAACACTTCCCCCGGGTGAGATGAACCAGGGTAGAAGTGAGAATGCAAGTTCCTAGGTCGGCCAAACCATCTTCCTTCACGGTTGACTGGGGTGTTGGAGACTCACTACCGCAAACTAATGACAAGGCCGACAGTGGTGGACGTCAGCTGCAACAGACACGGAGACAGCTATTCACTGCCACCATGGGTTAAAAGTAAAGGCCGGGGCAGGGAGGCCTGCACGACTGCTGAGGCAAACCACAGACCTGGCTCTGAATGCCCACTGGCTGAAGCAGAGAGGAAGCTACGGTCCCCTTTAGCAATCCCTGTGTCCACCAGATCCAGGTGAGCCAGCTAGTTAGGAGAAGGCCATGTTGTCCTGATACTCAGAAAAACAAGCCTCGTAAAGGGAACAAAACAGTGGCATGGATTTTAGACACAATTCTGCCCCTTTATGAAGGCAAAGTAAAGTAAATGGCACGGGGAAGTTAAACGCAAAAAAAATTAAATAACAAAATGATGACTGCTTCATCCAACAGCGTCCCCTACAGCTGCTCACCCCCGAGCCGGCCACTTTCTCACCAGTGACCGCCGGCCAGGAAGCTCCGTCACGCAAGTCACGCACGACACACAGCAACAGCCAGGAACCAAGTGCCGAGCACGTTTGTGTAAAAGCAGGAATAGAGCAAGATCCTGCAGACTTTGACTTTCCAAGTTTAAATACTTCATGAAAAGATTTCCACAGCAGCTGCCTAAATCAATTGCATCTCACTTTTTCAAAACATTCAAACAAATTTAATAAGGGCACATTTGTCACCAAATATAAGGAGGACCAAACAGGTTCCTCAAAGCAAGGATTTTAACAGGTATCAAACTCCAGTGGGTGATGGGCTAACAAAACAAATATTCCAAAAAATTAGAAAATAAAAAGATGACCAGGATAACACATGGATCAAAGCAGCTGTTAAGTTCTTGCTTTTTAAAGAGATGGACACAGTACGGAGGGAAAACTGGCTATTTCACATGCAGGGTGTGAACAGCCCACATTTTCAGATGCAACAACATGCTCACTGGGCAGTACAAGGGAAAAA